CATCACAAGTTGATCACGTTTGACCATATTGTGCATAAAGACTAATGCAGGAAATACAAGTTTGTCACGTTACAACTTTTTAGCCTTCACTCTTGTTTTAGTCTCCATTTCAACAGATATACATCACTGCCCCAGAATGCATTGCACCGGTGAAAAATGTAATAAACATTCTGACAACGTGATAACGTTGTGAAATGTGAATACAATCTGATATTTTAAGTACGATAATTAGAAGAGTTCCTGTGTTTTAAACAAGTTTTAGTAGAACGGAGAAATATAAACACGTCGAGGCCAAAATGTGCAACTAGTCGGAGATCCCTTTAATGTCACTTTGTCAGGTTATAAAATGATCAGGTTCGTTGGCTCTGGTGCAGAAAGAGGAGCTGATGGGTCCAACAGTACCGCTCGCTGGAGTTCCCCTCCTAGACAGGAGGTGTCACTGGAGTCAGTTGAACCACAGCTCCGTGAATAAACGCCTGCAGAGTCAGAAGAGTTGCATCCGACCTCCCTTCCAGTTCACACACTAGAGGTGACCTTTTGTTTGTTTTTGTGCAAATAAATGCACTTTAAAAAAAAAAATAACGTCTGTTCTTCATGATTTCATGTCAAACCTTGATAATCGCAGTTTAAAAATCTGAAGCATTCGCACTAGTTTTTAGTGACGCGCTGGTGATGAATGAAGGTGTTTACACGGGGATGAAACCGAGGAACGTTGGGTGTTTTTGAGTGTCGGCTGGTGTCGAGTACTCCTGCAGGGAGCCGTACAGGAAGTGCATTCTTCATATAGTTTAAACTTCTACCATGCACTTCATATGAACAGGACTTCCTAATGTCTTTGTGTTTATCTGTGTTGCTTTAAACACAGATGGAGTGAAGGATTGTGGGTATTCAGCCCATGCAGATGCATGTGTGCATTAATCTAATATACTGGGCTCTGAGTTCTGCTCCTCGACACGTCAAGTCTTTGTGTTCGGGGCTCAGAGGAGGCGCCAGCCGCTGCTACATGTCTCATTCTTTTGATTGTTCCTTTCTGCTCCTGCATCCCGCCTCATCCCGACCCATACCGACCCCACCCCGCCTCACCCCGCTCCAGGCATGGCCTCCATTTTGATGTCAGCAGTGGGACTCGGCGTGCACTTCACCTCCGCCCCCCTCCCTCAGCAGCAGCAGCCCCAGCAGCAGCCGCCGCCTGCTCCTTTCGCTCTTCCTCCTCCTCCTCCTCTCCTCCCCTCAGCCAGCAGGCCCAACAAGCCTCAGAGCAGCAGCAGCAGTTCAGTTAGGAGAGCAAAGAGGCAGCACAGGAGAGGTAGCTACGTCACCACCAGCCCACTCACCTCCACGGGCTTCAGCATCATTTCATCCATCGCTGTGTGCTCGCTCTGATCCACCGCACCATCCGTCTGTCGCTGCAGGTCGCCTCAGCTCCACCGCTTCCAGGCTCTCGGCTGCAACTCAAAGCTGTAGGAGTCCCGTTTGTCCTTTTTTAATATCTCTTCAAACTGACGGCGCTCCGAAGAATAAAACGTGAAGTAAAACAAACAATGCCACGGTTTGTTTTCCAAACTTTCACCTCTGGGATTTTATTCCATGTTTGACCTCTCGTCTGCAGCAAATGCAGAAAGAGATGAGGCAACCTTTGAGCCACGACGCTAACGAGATAAAGTTACTAATCCACAAAAAGAATAACTAAAACAAGAATATAAAGTTTTAAAGCTTGTGGCTTAGAGAGGAATCAAATGTAAGATGTGGTTTATACACATTATTAAATCCCACTGCGGCCACAGATCTCTGGGCCAGCGTGCACGTTTTTCCATTGTGGGAGGAGAACACGTGAACTCCACACAGAAAGAGCCCAGGTCCAAACCGGGGATCGAACCCAGGACCTTCTTGCTGTGAGACAACAGTGCTAACCACTGACCCATGGCGGTGCTAGCCAACATGGCAGCATAAAGTCCGTACGACAAAAAACAACTGCAGATACATTTTATTTATTTCGCTCTGATGGTCAAGAAGCTAAACTTATATAATTAAAACAATCTGTTGTATTTTCAGCTTTCTTGCTCTTTTTATTAATTTTTTTATGCTGCGTGTCTTTTTTTATTTTCTAATTATTTATATTACGCTTCGTTTTTGTCTCCTGTTATTAAAAATTAATTAGGAAACCAGTTTGAAATCAACGGGAAATGTTGAGGCGTAAAACATCCAGCAGTTGTTCACAGCTGGAAACAAAAAGAGCTCGAATATTCCACCTTGTGGAGTTAACGATCAGCTCGTTGGCACCGTGGACTGACGCGTGTAGAACTGGCGGTACCTGGATCCATCCTTCATGCTTCCATCAGCACCGCATTCATCCTGTCACCTCACTCATCCTTGGTCTCATTCATTCACTCACTTGTTTTCTAATCCACAAAATGATCAGATTGGCCAGATGTTGACATTATGTCAACGTCTCTCAGGAAAACCCATCTCATCCCGCCTCATCAGATTCTCTAGCTGTTTTTAACCTGGTTGTTTCAGCTGTTGTGTTTCTGTGCTCCTCCCAGCGTCTCAGAGGTCAGAGGAGGTGATTCAGCGCTACATGGAGGTGGTCGCTGAAGCTCCAAACGAGGTAAATCGTTTCCTCACATCACCGAGCACTAAATTACATCCACACGGAGCCGAATGGCGCGTTTTTCGTTCCTGGCTTCATCGTAAAAACCATCGTGTCTCGTTCAGGACTGCATCATCTGTATGGACCAGCTGTCCAGTCCGTCCAGCTACGAGACGCCGTCGTCCTCAGAGGAGGGAGGGCAGAGCATCGTGCCAGGCGCCGTGGGGAAATTCATCAAATGTGGCCACACCCTGCACATGCTCTGCATGCTGGCCATGTACAACAACGGAACCAAGGTACTGATCCGAGAGCGGCGCCGCTTTAACTGCGCCGAGCTGAACGAGACGCTTCCCTGCACCAGAGAGAGTTCTGTTTGAAGCGGCAACGTTTTCTGACAAGCTGCTCGAAGACTGAAAAACCTACAACTGTTCAGATTCATAGAAGGTTTGACGGAACGGGAAGAAAGTTGATCAACTAGAATCGATACTTTAATATGTCCGATTCCCCGCCGTCAGTTATTTAATCAGCTGATTTATTTAGTTTGAAAACGCTCGTCGTGTTTAGCCAAGTTTTATGAATGACTATTCAAAGGTCTCTTTATGGTAGAGGTCAGTACAGGTTTGTTGTACCAGGAAATATTACAGCCACAGGTTTGTAGCTTCTGCTTTGGGCTGCAGCTTCAACACTTTGCACTATTTTTATGAATCGGTTGTTGGTTCTGCTCTTCACTCTTTTCTGCGTAACCCAAGGAGTCTGCACCCATCCATCTTTAATGCTGCTTCCTTTTTGGGTGAGGGGGTTGGAGACACCCTGGTCATGTCTCCAGTCCATCACAGGGACACACAGAGACAAACGAGACAAACAACCGTTCACTCTCTCTCTCACCAATTTTATAAAAATTCAAACAGGGTTATGTGAGTTTTCTTTTTAATTGTGGAAACAATTCATAAAGTATCCAATAAAGCATAAAGTTAAAAATTAGGCCAGTTTGTTGGATACGTAATTTAATTTTAAAATGAATATAAATACTTTCATTTACTTTTTTTTGTTGTTATCAAGTTGACTCACCATATTTCTTCTCGGCAACTTGCCTTAACCTCCTAAGACCTGGCATCCACGTGTGCAAGAGTTGGGGTCTTAGGAGGTTAAAGGTTTCCCCCACAAAACGTTCGGTGGATTTGAGAAGCGCATCACACCGTACGGCTGGAGGTGAGCTAAAAGAAGCGGCTAACAAACTACTAGCATGATGTAGTCAACAAGTTTTACTCCTTGTGTTAGTACCATCATTCACATGGTGGCAAAAGAAATGACCAGAAAACTGCTTTTGGGTCAAAACTTAGAGCTGCTGCAGAGGGACCAAAGAGCCGCATGTGGCTCCAGAGCCGCAGGTTGCAGACCCCCTGGCCCAACCACGACTAATCCACAAATTAGCCGTTAGCTCGAAGTTCACCGAGCGAAGCGGCAGTCGTGGTTTAGTCTGATAAAAGAAGCCTGAACAAAATGAGAACTCATTTTAAATGTAGCCGCTTTATTTGTAATGATGCTGAAGTAGAAGCTCATCATCCATTCTTTACCTGATTCTTTCTTTTCGGTTCGTGGGGGACGCCCTGGACAGGTCACAGGGACACGGAGACAAATGAGACAAACAACCATCCACTCTCTCTCTCACCTAGAGACAATTTAGAGTCACCAGTCAGCCCAACATGCATGTTTTTGGTCTGTGAGAGGAAACTGGAGAAAATTCACGAGAACATGCAAACCCCACCCAGAAAGGCCCCCGGCTGGGATTCGATCTGGTGATCTTTTTGCTGAGAGGCAGCAGTTCTATCAACTGAGCCACCGTGCCACCAGTGAATCCTCCTGTCCTCTGTCTGTCCTCTGTCTGTCCTCTCTGCAGGACGGCAGCCTGCAGTGTCCCTCCTGCAAGACCATCTACGGAGAGAAGACCGGCACGCAGCCCAAAGGCAAGATGGAGATTTACAGCATCGTCCAGTCGCTGCCGGGACACCCGGACTGCGGCACCATCCAGATCATCTACAGCATCCCTCCTGGTATCCAGGTACGGTTCTGATCCAGCCCAGAATGTTCTCCGTGTGTGGAAGAGCTCGTCCCACAGAGCTGCCATGATTTAACGTCCCATTCTGTCTCAATGTGGTTTGCATTGATCTGCTGGGCTCGCCGTGTTTATCATTGGATTAGTTTCTATAGTTCTTCAGATTTCTGCTGTGAAACTTTGTGAGACGGATCAGTTTTTGTCCTCGTCCACCAGGGCCTGGAGCATCCGAACCCCGGGCAGCCGTTCACCTGCAGAGGCTTCCCTCGCTTCTGCTTCCTCCCCGACAACGACAAGGGCAGGAAGGTAAGAGCAGAAGAGATTAAAAAGACCGAGCTGACCCAGTTTGGGTGAGACTGAGGTCTAATCCGTGCTGGACACCAGCTGAAGAGTTCTGGACTCCAGACCCATAACCGTGACGCCCCACAGGTCACGACCTGAACCTCTGATTTGGACTCTTGCGCGCCGTAAACAAACCAGAAACACCCGGCGCTCGTTAAAGCGGCTTCGTTTTCCTGATTCGTCACACGCCCGCTGTACTTCGGCTGCTGTGAATAATCCCTGGAGTCTTCCTCCGGTGTAAAACTGGATTAAACGATCCCAGCTGCAGTGGTGTTGAATTGATCCCGATCGTTATGTAAAGCGTTACATCGAGTCATTTCAGAGCCACGTCCTCCCGTCTGTTCAAACGGCTGTTTCTTATCTGAACTGTGACGGAGCAGGTTCGGCTCCGAGGCTCGATTTGGAGCCGAATAAAACTGCAGCTAAACAAAAACTAGAACTTCATCCGCAAAACTTTTCTTAAATTTGTTGGATTTTTTTTTTTTTTAATTATGGTTTTATGAAATCGATGAAATCATGACTATGGAGCTAATTTTGTTAAACGAACACCATAAAATATATGCAGTTCTGATTTTACGCAAAATAATCTCTGCCTGTTAGAAGCTGGACAGATTAGACGGCTCAGTGGTTAGCTCTGTTGCCTCACAGCAAGAAGGTCCTGGGTTCAATCCCCGGTTGGACCTGGGCTCTTTCTCTGTGATGTTTGCATGTTCTCTCGGTGCATGCGTGCATTTTCCTCCCACAGAACAAAAACATGCATGTCAGGCTGCTTCAGGCCTCCCTGGTTAAATAAAGGTTAATAAATAAGTAGATCGTCCAGCACGTCCAGTTTGTCGTTTTTAGCTGCAGATTAAAAACATTTGATTTAGTTGTCAAACCCAAAACTTGACATCTCCAGGAATTTAAATTGGAGCCCGACCGATACGGAAACGTACCAATATCGAGAGGAGGGGTCGAATGCTGATAACCAGTATGATGGCTGAAAAGTTTGAATCTTTGCCCCCCCCCACAAGGATCTAAGAAAACAGCGAGTGGAGCGAGGCTCGTTTATTTAGCGCAGCTGTTAGCAACCAATGAAGCTAAGCTAATAAGATCCGTGCTTTAATGTGTCCCACAGTAGTTTTACAAGCGGCGCACTGGCCATAAAAACAGTCTTTCTAACGTGCGTTCACATTTTCTGTCCTCCACTATTCACCATAAAGTTATCAAGCGTGTTACAAACATATAAATTAAAGAAACATGCTTCGCTCTTCATTGTTTAAACGGTCATGTATGGTGACGGTCTAATTAGTATCGACCACAGCAGTTTTGGGTTTTTTTTGCAGAGAAGTTAAGATTTCAGACAAACAATGCATTTCATTGATTACCATAAAGATAACGTTACTAACACTCGATATATTTTACCTCTACGTTAGATTTATTGTTCTGGATAAAGTTTTACGAGGCAGTAGTCTACGCTAGGTTATCTAAACGTTAACATGCTAACTTGAGAGGCACGTAGCTAATGACAAACAGGTTAGAGGATTTATTTTTAATTTATTTTACAGATTAGTTGAAATAAACTTACCGTGCACAGTTTTGCTCGTTGCTTCGTCTGTGCTGAAAGTGAAACTTAAGTGAACGGCCATGACAGTAGTCGGATGCGCCCTCTGCTGGATACATCGCACATGTTCGGCTGGCTCCAGCATTTTAGGGGTGAACATTAGAAGCGTTTATATCACAGATACAGAACAGAAAACTGCTCAACCATTGATCCGATTATAAGAATTCTACGTGTAAATATCAGAAAATAAAAGCTTAAAGTCCTGATTAAAGTCTTGGTTCCGTGTGAAACCTAAATGTTTTTATTGGACAGCAACACCAACAATGCTGGTTTTGGATTAAAAGATCCGGTTTGTTCGTCCGTCGCGGCCGTGCAGTGGTGTCGGTACATCGCTGAGATTCAACCTTTGTTTTTGTTCCGTCCCGAAGGTTCTGGAGCTGCTGAAGGTGGCGTGGATGCGTCGGCTCATCTTCACCGTGGGGACGTCCAGCACCACCGGAGAGCCCGACACGGTGGTGTGGAACGGCATCCACCACAAAACAGAGATGATGTCCAACCTGTCGGGCCACGGCTACCCCGACCCCAACTACCTGGACAACGTTCTGTCCGAGCTGGCCTCGCAGGGCGTGACCGAGGACTGCCTCGGACCTCCAGCAAGCAGCAGCTAGGTCCAGAATCCCTCAAACCTCCAGGTCGCCCGCCAGAACCAGCAAGGTTTACGCTCGTGTGTGTGGAGGCCGTCATACGTCATGTTTCTGCGCCTCCCGTGTTCCAGGAGACCGATCCGTTTCATCAGACCTCGTCAGGATCCATCGGCGTGAGAAGAGGGGCCAACTCTGGGAACGAAGCACTTTAGCTCTGACGGTGCATTCTGCTGACGGAACGTGTGATTTTTGTTTTTGTGTTTCACTTTCCCCACTCAGTACAGGGCAGTTAGCTTGTTTTACCGTTAGGAGCGCGGCTACAGCGAAGCTTCGAGTAGCAGCACTCAGTTTATGTGAACATAATCGATGAGAAGAGGCAATACTTTCCTGTAAATAAATGAATGCATCAAAACTATGAACAAACGTCATAGTTTGTTTTTTTACATGTATCACGTTTGATTTAACCATGTTTAACTCCTAAGCATTCTGCAGCTGATGAGTTTACACCAGAACTGGATTAACGAATCCAGTTACTGTATCGATACGAAGCACTGCGGTGGGAAAAAAAAAAACTGCTTCAGTTTTGACAATCGGTCGTTAAAGTCGTCTCGAAACGAGACGTGATTCTGCAGCGAACGCGTTCCTGGAGGTGAGACCTCCTGTCGTCCCATCTGCTCAGCTCAGACTCAACATCTGTACGAACGACTGGAAAATAAACATCTGCAATAAAGAAATGATGCAAAACACGACCGACTCAAATTTTGACTCCACAGAAAATGCATGAATGCTGTGAAATGAAAAAGAGTTTGTAAAGAACGTGGATGGATGGATGGGGTCAAAGAATACAACCAAAGTTTAAATATCTTAGAACAATATGGACGTCAAAGTTGACTGAAGATGTTGGAGACGAGGTAAGGACTGCTGGAGAGAGTTTAGAGCAAAAAATAAATTCATTGGCTTCGCTTTTCAGACTTGGAGGTTCAGTCCTCTTTAAATCCAAATAGATCTGAATAGATCTAAATAGATAAATCCTGACAGAAGGATTTATTTTCATAATTACCAAGTCACAACTGAGGTCATCTCAGGGCACTGTATGAAAACAATCGTATACATTGAAAGCCAATTAGTAAAAGTTATGTAAGGAAGCCAGCAGATTGTAAAATCTCTTTGTTGCAGTCTCTCATCCTGAGAAACCACAAAGCCAACAGTGGAAACACTCCCTTTTAACAGGAAGAAACCTCCAGCAGACCCAGGCTCAGGATGAGAAGCCATCTGGTTTGAGAGGAACAGGAAGAGAAAAACAGAACGACAGGTCTATGTGTACTTTCTATAGAAGGAAAGCTGAACTCGTTAAGGACAAATAATTACAAACAAGTCGAGCAGAGTAAGTAAAAACAGCAGCAGAGAGGAAATGTGGTCAATTTGTCCTCCAGCAGTCTCTAAGCCAATAAATAGCAGCAGAACTAAGGGATAACTCAGGAAACCCAAACACACTAGGATTTATCAAAAAGGAAAGTCTTAAAACTGGACGATGTGTCAGCCTCACGGACAGAAACTGGAAGTTGGTTCCAGAAGAGAGGAGCCTGATAACTGGAAGATCTTCCTCCCATTCTGCCTTTGGAAACTCTAGGAACCACAAGTAAACCTGCAGTCTGAGAGCAAAGCACTCTTGTTAGGAAAATATGGAACAATAAGATCTTGAATATAAGATGGAGCTAGGTTGTTGAGGGCTTTGTAGGTTACAAGTAAGATTTTGAATTTTCTGAATTTGACGGAGCCAGTGGAGAGAAGCTAAAACTGGAGATCTCTCATATCTCATTAAAACTGTTGACAGCGGCGTTTTGGATCAACTGAAGACTTTTTAAAGAAGTTTTTGGACACCCAGATAATAAACCGTTGCAATAATCCAGAAGTAATACTGAAATCTAATATTTGATTTCAATATTTTTGAGAATGAATAAAATGCGGTTTAAAATGAAAAGGATAAAATCATTCAGGACAAACTGCAGACCAATCAAAGTGCAAGGCAACACATTTTATTTCAAAGGCCTAACTGGCATTAAGGTACAGCATATTAAATATAGTTAGTCCAGAGACGGTCATCGCAGAGTAACATACCATTCTTTTCTTTACATCATACATTCAGGCTGACGTTAAACGACATATTTTACATGTTAATGTGGCGGGAACGCAGAAAAGGCTGATTTCTGCAGGTCTGAAGCTCCTGCTGCTCGCTGAAACATCGAGTCCATTTAACCTCTTGAACCGCCCAGGAGCTGCAGTTTACTTTCAACTACGTGGATACTGGTAGCTTCGGTTGTTCCATCACCCGGTCTCACCACGACTCGCTTCGGCTCTTCTCAGGTCTGCACGGTGTCTTGAGGTTTTCCACAGAACCCGAGTGTTGCCTCGAACGGGATCGTCGCAGCGCGGCCACCTGAAACGAACATCTCAGGCAAACATGACGGAGGAAACGAGCAAACTGGTGAAAAAGTCACAACACTGCCCATCCTCTGCCTCGCCTGCACCTCACAGTACCCGTCTTGTTCGGCCGCTTGGTCACGCTTTCAGCTCGAATGTAGTTCCAAGCAGGATTGTCAAACCGGCAGAGATTAAAACTATCAGCTAAATATGATCATCATATACAGTCGTCCATCGATACTTCAGGTTTGATTTTCACGGGTTTTCAACGTACGATTGTACACATCGTTTCCCGGTGGCCTGGCCTACTCAGTGATTGCCGAGGAGCCCCCTCCTTTCTCTTTTTGAGGCTGTCTGTCACAGCAGAGCTGACACACACAGACAGACAGCCTCAGAAAGAGAAAGGAGGAGGCGGGGTCTGTCTTTCCCCATCGCAGCTGTGGGAGCTTCAGTGAGGCGAATACCAAAGTGAGGGGCATGGATTGTTTGTTTAAGCGAGTGCGACCCGAACCGAGCCTTAACCCGAACCGAGCCGTGCTCCCCATGGCCAGTCTGCCCCCGGGATCTGATTGGCTCAGTAACCGTAGCATCGGTCTGTCTGCTCTCTTTCGCTGCGCTCTTTTAGAGCATTTAGTTTCGAAAATTGTTAAGAACTTTTCAAGAGTGTGGTTAGGATTTATAAAGCCTTAAAAAATATATAAATACTAAAATAAATATAACGTTCCTACTTCACAGATTTTCACCTTTTGCAGGGGTGTCTGGAACGTAACCCCCACGATAAGCGAGGGACTACTGCATCTGGCAACACCGGCTCCAAACTGTAGCTTTAAAGTCAGCAGACTGCAGGACGTTGATTGGCCAGAGAGAGAGACGTCAACCACCAGCGCCTCCTTCACAAGAATCCAGCCCACCATCTTTAAAACGTCACCGCAGCAGGACGAGGATCAGCTGCTCCTAATCTGAGGCCCTCCGGCTGAAAACGGTGGATCGTCCTCTGCGGGTTGGAGTCAGGTGCTGCTTCAAGTGCAGGAGTTCAAGTCTCTCTGGGTTTTGTTCGTGAGTGAGAGAAGAACGGAGCGGGAGATCGACAGACGGATCGGTGCAGCTTCCACAATATTGTGGACTCTGTGCCGGTCCGTTGTGGTGAATAGGGAGTGGAGCTGTACAGAGAAGCTCTCTTCACCTGTAGTCATGAACTCTGGGTAGTAACCGAAGGAACAAGATCGTGGATCCAGGATCTAAACGAGTTCTCTGCAGGGTATCTGGACTCTCCTTTAGAGATCGTCCAGTTCTCCAGGAGACTCGGAGCAGAACCGCTGCTCCTCCACATCCAGAGGAGCCAGCTGAGGTGGCTCAGACATCTGGTCAGGATGGATCCTGGACATGTCCAACTGGGAGGAGACCCAGGACACTGTAGAGACCACGTCTCTTAGACCTCCCTGCTCCCGAGACCTGACTCCAAAACAAGGAAGATGATGGATGAACAACCACAGCATTCATTACTTATTAAAAGATTCAGAATTTATCCTTTAAAACACGAGAACCGACAGGGGGCGCACGGATGTGCCGGGGCGCACGGACTCCGACCAGCGGAGGGACGGTGGCCTCCACGATTTTGTGACTCGGAGGACGGGAGCGCTTTCTCACTTCGTTGCTCGTTGCCGCGGTGGGTTTGCTTTGGATGGGAGTTGTGAGCGGCTGCACCATGATGACCCGGGTTCTGTGGAAACCCAGAGACCGTTCGGACCCGAGCAGAGCCGAAGCGAGCTGCGATGAACGAGTGGAGCGAGTGGGCCGTGGGAACAGGTCGTTAGTTCTGCGGTCGTTCTTCATGGAGCTGTGTAACAGAATATTTTACATCCCTGCACGTTATATTTCAATAAATATAATAAATAAAAAGTACAAATATCTGAATATTATGGGACCAGATGTTTCCTGTCATTCGCAGCTAAACGCTGAATCCGTCTCAGTGGATGGACTTGTTTTTTTTTTTTTACGTAAAGACAAAAAAAAAGTGTTTTTTGTTTCCAACTTTAAAAAGTCAAAATAAATCAGGGTCTCCTTTAGAAGGGAAGCTGAGCGTCGAGTGAAGGCAGGACGACCAGCCGAACGTTTGGCTGCTCGTACATTCGGCTGCTCCGCTCAGAGTCCAAGTCCCAACGCATCGGTTGTTCAGGACGCCGGTCCTGTGGTCCACTCGTCCCTCAGTAGTTGACCTTCCCAGGGACCTGAACGTTGAGTCCGCTGTAGTCCACCATGTACATGGGCCACTGCTGCAGGACAGAGTCACAGCGTCACCAAATGTTCGCCTTCAAACCTCAAACTCAGCCGGACGCTGAGCTGTCGCTTAAACACTTATTTAATTTAGTTACAACCAGACTTTGGCTGACATTAAAATATATGTTTTATAGAATTTTATGGATTAATTCAACCACACAGACATAAAAAATAAACATTGCTGTGAACAATCAAAACTAAATATACTAAAACAGGGTTATTCAACTGATGGCCCATGGGCCACTTCTGGTCTGCCCACCAAAGAGTTCATTAAAAAGAAATTTATTATTATTATTATTATTATTATTTTAGGTTGTGGGTTTGGGTTCTGTTTATTATTATGATTCAATGCAACAAAATAAACCAATTTAAAAGAACAGATCATTGTAACACTTGGTTTATTTACATAATGACTTTAATCGCTAAAGATTAAAAAAGTTAAAGCGTTAAAGTGTGACCCAACACATCGACTCCAGGATAAATGTTTTTAATCTAAATGAACGAGGCACGTTTTCAGATTTCTGTCTTTTTAAGCTACATTTTGATACTTGGATCATCCTGATACAAGTTTGATATTTACCAAACTGAAAACCCTCCTCAAACTCTGAAAGTCTCGTTTTACGATCATATATTTAAATAAATGCGATTAAACTCGGAGCGTCTACATTAGCATGTTGTTCGTGCTAACGTTAGCGTGCTAATCACGACAGAAAAACTAAAACTAAATCCGATGTGTGTGTAAACTATATTCACTTTTAACTTCTCGAGTCTTAAACAAAACGAGTGAAACGCGACACCTGGCGATAGTTCGGCCATCTTGTGAGCAGAACGCCGTCCCGTTAACGTACCATGACTGGAATCTGATTGGTGGAGATCCCGAGCTCGGAGGAGGCGGGAACCCGGCTGCTCTCCTGGACTCGCTTGCGTTTTCGCCGGTTGGTGGAGGCGTTCGTTGCGGCTGAAATCAGACACAGTTTCAGCACCAATGGAACCTTAAAATAGAACCTTAAAACCGAACCTGGAACAGAACCCACCTGTGTTACAGGCCTGGCTGCAGAGTTCTGCAAACGGCCTGGCAGAGAAAGACAAGGTTAGTTTGAACAATTCATTTTAAGATTTTTTAGCCTCCGCCTCAATTTTTCATGAACCATCACTTTGTTTTATCGAGTGTGTTTGCTGAAGACCGCGTGCTCCGTCATTTAGGTCCCAATTGAAAACATGAAGCGGGTTCAGGTCGTGAAGCGGGTTCAGGTCGTGAAGCGGGTTCAGGTCGTGAAGCG